CTAGTGTTGCTACAGAATGACCCAAACTTTCCCGTATTAGTTTTCAATTTTTTTTAGTCTCGGCTAGCTGTTCGAACTTGCCACATGGTCTTGCCTGCTGCCATCCATCTCCACCTAAAGTACATTTTATGAAACTTTCTTAATTTTTGGTTTCCTAATAGTAAAACAAAAATATTTTAAGAATAATAATGAACAGTAAAACTACATCATAAATGGCAATTTGGTTTGAAAACTCTGGAGCTGTTTTTAAGAAAATGGCGTTTAAGCGCTACTAAATTTGAAATTTGAAGCTCTCTTCACAGACAATTTTTTAGTCTTCGACAAACTTCATTGGAAGTCACTTGAAGTACATTAATTCACAAATACAATAGTGTTTACAAATCGATATAAATGTCATATTAAGGGAGCGAGAGAACTTACAAATACATTACATTTCTGTAGTTTTTAAAAAAGAAAGAACTTTACGTCGTATTCAAAAGTGTAATTAACACTATCCTTTCGAAAAGTTTACACAAAAACTTTGGAGCGTTTCTGAAAATACGAAATTTTGATCTTCGTGTGACAGAAAATGTTTGTGAAGCTTTATAAGAATGAGTTTTCGAGAAGCTTTATAAGACATTACCTAAAGCACATGTACTCAAAAATATGATAATGTGAACGAATTACCGTTAATGTAAATATTAACGACGTGGGAGACAAGTAAAAAAATTCTAATTTTTGTAAAAAACAAAAAAATAGAGCAATATGGCATTTATGTCATCTCATAGAGCGCATTTAGCACATTCCCTACCAAAAGTTTGAAGAAAACATTTGAGCGGTTTTTGAGAAAATCTTGTTGTATTTTTTTAATTACCAAATTGCACGTAATATTGAGCGAAAACAACTACAATTTTCAAAAACATACGTGACCTTGATTAAAGAACAAATCATGGACAGCAAATTTCATTTCTAGGAAAACGCCTAGATTGTGTAGTCTGCACAATGCGAGGCCCTAACCAAGCAAACCCCACAAAGGACAAATATCAGAGAACCTTGAAGGAATTCAAAGATATAATTAATTATTTTTAATAATTATAATTTAAATTATTGTTAATGTCTTTTTATAATGTCACGTATTTGCATAAATATGTGTATTCAACATCTATAATGCTTATAAGAAGGATTTAATACATAATAAAAAATCCGAATCGATAGAAACTAAAATGTTGGTTGCTTGCAAATCTAGGATTATTGGTACAAAATAAATTTAAGACCGCAGAGGACAGATGTCGGAAAATTTTCTTTCACAAATCGATTTATAGCGGGATGGAATAGATGGCCTGCACAAAAATCTTTGACCCCTGTCCTCGAAGTGTTCAACAGTTTAGGAAATTAATTTAGGGTATTACTAAGTAAATGAAGGACTTAACTGAGAATAGTAGGTTGCAGAGCGATGCGTGAGTGATATATTGTGAAGTGAGGTGTCGTGCAGTGTAGAACAGAGAAATAATGAAGAATTGAGTAAAGGGTCACAGTGAACTGAAGTGAAGTGAAGTGTGGTCTTAATTTAACAAACGGAGTTCGATTAAAGAAGTTTCTTTTTCTGAAAGTAATTTAATGTTTTATGAATCAAACAGTTTTTATTATTATTATCATTATTATTGCAATATAATTTGCATGTTAGCTATATTATCTTATTTATATAATTAGCTGCCACCGGGTTATACCCATTTGCAGTTTAAATAAACTTATCTAATCAAAATCGACCATAAGTGCCATTGTTTACAGTACACATTCTTTCACCGAGTAAAATATTCTTTTGAATTTGTTTTTACAAATAAAATTTTACAAAATTGCCCAGTCCGAGACATTTATTATAAATTTGATGCTTGGTGTAATAATTTTAAAAGATCAGCTCTCTTGACAAACATTGGCTTTTTTTGGAGAGGTAATGCCTTTTCATAGTAAAGGCATCATTTTAAACAAATTATATCTGTACCTAACATTCTATTCCACACTCATTTTTTAATCTTCGCAAGTATTCTACTTGAGAACTATAGAAACTATTACGTAAGAAAATGTGTAATCTAATAACTGGATTTGAACACATGATGTACATAAGCAATATTTACTGCTACTATTCACTTTTTCATATTGCAAAAGTAATAGACTTTAATATAACTTTCAAAGCAGATTTTTGTAAAATATAACTAATATTTCCAAACATTTTAAATATCAACCCTTTAATAACGCTTTTTTCCTGACACGTTTTACTTACCCTTGCACTGGCACACCCAATAAGAGACCACATAAAATCAAAGAACGGCCTTCTCTTTCTTCTCTTCTTACGCATTTGACGTAAGTTGTGAAGAATGTAACTGTCTCTAGTAGGTTTTTCTGGCACCTCTTCCTCATCATCACAGTCTATCATAGAATAATACTTCTCTTCGTCCATATTTCACCAAAGAAAATTAATTCAGGAGACCGCACTCAATTTTCAAGTAGCACTTGCGCTCTCTCCTTAGTGACACGGAGTGGCTTTCTCTGCCTGCTGAAACTTTTCCTGACCCGGTGCTCGTCAGTACAAATCCTCTTGACAAGCAATGTCAGCGCCTTCTGAATAGTAACAAGAAACGTCCCGAACAAACGGAGGTGATTTCACCATCCAATTAATAACACGTTAATAAGCCTTGTTAGGGGGGCCATGAGACAGACTAATGGTTGTTAATCAAGTACTGCGACACCCTATTATCACAGCAATAATAGTCATGCATATCAAGAGAGATTAATTATAATGTACTAAAAAATACGTCAAACCTAAGTTGTAATCAGTAATTGTTTCATTCATTTGTTAACAAAATAATACTAAAGAAACAAAAGCTTAAGTTAATAATGGTATTAAACAGGACGATATTTCCTTATTTTTCCCTCCTTGTCCTCCGTTATAATTTTTAATGAAGGCATCAAATTCCGATTTAAGATAATAAAATATTTTGGATTGGGATTCGGTTTCGGTTGTTGATAAAAAAAGGTTTCGGCTGTTTGAAACAATTTCCAACGTTTTTATATATTTATTACATGTTTTCAAAATTATGTAATAACCTCGACAAAAACCTTGTTAATTTAAAATAAAGAAATTACAGTAAGAGCGAAGTGTGCTCTAAGGTGCCCTACAAGAAACACAAAAATAAGTATAATTAAAAAATGCACACACTGTGATGCTTTGTTCTTGCCTGGGATCGATCAGAATGTGTGAAGCTGCACTAAACCTATCTGGAAGCTCGAAAACAAATAAGCCGCGTAATCATTAACTGTTTACACCCCGGCAAAGGCATGATAGATTTTTATCTTGCTTTGGGAAATTTGCTCTGTGAGTTCGAGTAATATAAACACCTCCTATAGAGCCAGAAAAAGAACTCTCTCACAGGCAAAATCACTGATCGCACACACGACAACCAACACGTCATATGTATGACCTCATTCATGTCTCTCTGTCAAATAATGTTTAATTAATTATATCGCAATGAACATAAAATTAAATCAGTAGTCTTGAGAAAAAGCTATAATTGAAACATAAACATCTGGAAATGGCACATTATCGTACGGGTTCTTTTTAAGGTTTATAATGTTTTTAAAGAAAAAAAAACACCTTTTTAATCCTATCATACGAATTACGGATTTCCACAATTACGGTTTGTTGATCATTCCCCGACGTACCATTTGTTTATAAAATGAGTATATTTGTTGTTTGGATTGAATGGAAGAAGCCCAATATTGGCAAAACTCGCTATCATTATTTAACCACAACGGTGTCGCCGCGAAGGAACAAAAACTAAACTTGTGAGAGATGTGCAAAAAAAAGGAACATTAAAGGAACGAGACTTTCTTATAGGAATGGATAGTCATTTATTAATCTATTCATTTCAAAATTTTTCATTAGTATGGGTTACTAATACTCATTTTTGATATACACATTATGAGTATTCGGGAAGGATTCCTTCTGGCACTTCCCATCGTTACTTCTCACCCCTCAGAAAAAAATACAGGGACTGGGTCATTAGTTCGCTATGGTCATTAGTACCTTTAGTGTAGTGAATGTTATACTCGTGGAGGCGGTGTTTCTTCTCTTACTTCACCTTACTGAAGATTTTCCCGTTTTAACTCCACCAGCAGGGCACCGCCCCAACTGGGACAAGCTCTGAGGCCCCGAGCGGTCTCCTGACATGTTTGGTAGTGTCGTACATGGAAGTGTATGAGTGTAAGGAAATATGATAGGAAAAGAAAGGGATAAAGAAAATCGCGTGCGGTCCGCGGCCTGCTTATTACGGCGCTGCTTCGGCAATCGCCAGATTCTACGGCTACGGAAAACTACCACTCACAGACGCCGACCGCTGAAATTCTCCATACAGCGGCTGGATACGACTTAGCTACGTAGATAGTCTCAAAATTTCACTGCCATCGAGACTAAGCCCAGCACCTCCCGATAAGAGTTGCTGCAGATTCTCCGGAAATACTAGCTCTGAGCTAAACCCAGCCGGATTTTTTGTTTGCAGGTGATTTTCTTATTTTTCTTAGTAAGCCATAGGCCTGTCCCATTACTTAGATTTTAAAACTTTCTCACCGCCGTCTTCGAAGATATCTCCTTCCCACAAATCTAGTATCCCTCGAGACCTTTACAATTCTATCTTCATTCATTCTATCAAGGTGTTGATCCCATTCGTAAATGGAACTAATTCCACATGTTAGTCTAATGTTTTCATTCCTCTCTATATCCAAGTACGTGTTGTTTAAAATGCTTCTCCACACAAGCATTTATGCCACTTCTAGCTGCGGTTGCATGCTTTTTGTTTCATCTCGTGTCTCTGTTGCGTATGTTAAACTCGATCTAACTACTGGTTAATATATTCTTACTTTTTAGTCTTGTTTCAATTATTTGTTGTGCCACACCGAGTAATTTAAGCAGCCGGAAATTCTGTTTCCTTTCAAGACTTGTTGTTTTACCTTCTAATTCATCTTCACAGGGGATTGTGGCTGGCTGTAATAGTAGCGTCGACGGCGATGTCGGCCTATATCATAGGCATCACGTGGAGTCTGTACGAAGGCAACCCAACCCTCACGGTCATAGAGGACAGCCATTACAACACATGGAACTTCCCCTTTCCTGCCGTCACTATCTGCGGCATCAATCAGTTGGATCGTGACAAAAGCGCGGAGTTTGTCCAGAAATTGTAAGTAGCCCTGGACGTCATGAAAGCGTCACGTTGTGCAGCTTCCGAGTGCGAGTTGGTCAGCGTTCGCTTTATATAACTGCCAAACAATGCGCCTACACAGACCTCGAATGTGAGCTAATCAGCGCTAAATTGCTCGAACATTTTCGGTATGTGTAGACACCGAAACAACATGTTGCGTCAGACGAGCATTATTGGGCTTTGTTCAAAACACGCGTTGATAATTTTATGTGTATTTTATAATTCTTATACGACACGTTACGAATTTTGGTATTTGCCCTTTGTGATCAAGAATCAAAACATTTCTGCGTAACTATTCGAGAAAAAAATGTATCTGTACTTAGTTCGATGGAGTTCGCCTGTTGGATTTTTTTGTTGAATTGCATATTTAAGGTGCATTTGTAGGCTTGACTCTCGTTGCTTTGAACACTAACTTATTTTGTATTACATAAACCACTTTCAGTTTATTTTTTTGTGTCTTTGAAATATACAGTAATTTGAAGAAGCATATTTAATATCCAAACGTTTCTTTTATATAAATGACGCACAAACTTTTTTAGTTTTTAGAAGAAACACCAATAGTGTCAAGAGGTTCATTATGGTCTTGTACAATTGAACACATCCTCGTGTGCCAGTGAACACACATTTTTGAGTGAATTTGTAGAAAACCTAAGGTAAATGTTTCTGTTCACATAATCCACTGAAAGTATATGAAAAGAAAGATCTTGTTTTTCCATTGTAATGATAAAACCTTCCATTTAACTAAATTTTAAAAAATAGTTTTGACTTGCATATATCAAACATTTACTTCGATTACATTTCAGAATATTTCAGAAACTAACTTCAAGAAGACATTCATTCTGTGGTCATGATACCTTGTTTTCACTGGTTTTAGTAGTTTCTTAACTAACAAGAGTCACATTCGTGAACGTCAAATATCTTCGCAGGTATAAGGTAAAGATATGTTTCAGTAAGTCGTTTCAGATAGTTTTCATGATTTTCAGAATCTGTTTTATCAGCATTAATATTTTTCCTGTATATTCAGCATTGATTTTCCGTTGCAAAACAGAACACAGTGGCCAACTTTAAAAGTATTACCTTCAGCTTTCGTCAAAATTTCATTGAAAACCTTCAAAACAATAGTCATTCCATCATTCTCATCGCTATCTTGCAGAATTGTAACTTAAAAAACTCAATCAGATCAGAGTGTCTTTGTAACTTTGCCTATAAACAGTGTTCATTGGTACAAGATATGTAATTCCGAATAAGACTACATTACACACTACATTATCAATTATATTAAAATGAAAATGGGAACATAGGAAATACTTAGAATATTAAAGGCAAACATTTTCCGGTACCAGATTTGTTCACTTCCATCAATCTTAAACACAAAAAATTTGGACAAGAAACGCTGCTTTTTAATTTCTGAAAACAGACTTAATTGTAAGGCTCAAACGGTTTCATATCCAAAAATAACTATACAAACATCTAGGTTCTAATAAATCATTGATATAAGTAAAAAAACACAATTTTAATGAACTCATTATAATTACGAGAAAGCTCATATTACATTTTCATAAATGTTTTCCTACCAAATGAATTTCAGGACCGTTTTGAATGGAATGAGCAGAGAGGAAATATTTGAGGATTTGCGTTTACTTCCCACATTCTTTGACCTCGATGCCGATGAAGACCTTGACCACAATTACACACGACTTCAGAAAGTACTGGATGCCAACAACATCACCGTCAAACAAGTGATGAAAGAGGTAATATTATTTTATATTACCTTCTTTAACAGTGTTATGAAAATGTGATCATTTCCATCTTATTTGGGTCCTTAATATATTTAATTAGGAAGGCTCATTATTAGGGTATTAATAGAGAAAACTATTACTTAGGTTTCATGAAAATTTTCAGTACTATAGTTCGAATAGTGCGAGGTCCGGGGATAAAAACACCCGTTTCCGTGTTCTCTTAAGATTCTAATTAGCAGCTAGTTAATTAGTCTATTTCACATTAATTTAGATATTTCAACTACTAAATATCTCATTCGATATATCCGGTGCAGATTGGTTAATAGTCCAATAAGATGTAGATAAATTAATTTTAGTCCATCGGGTTGGTATACCAATATATTTGAGAAATTCATTGTTACAGATTTCGCCCAACTGTGAGGATATGGTTTACCGTTGTATGTGGAAAGGTCGTGAACTATTGTCATGTAAGAAAACCTTCAAAGACCTTAAAACGTTTGAAGGCTATTGTTGTACCTTTAACTACGTGGCGTATCCAGAAGCGGAGCTGTAAGTACAAGCAATAACTAACAATATTGCAAGATGAGACATATTCTACTGCAGTTGAGTACAACTCGGTGGCAGTAATTTACAATATATAGGGATATCAATATAATATAACTGAAATAATAATAATAATAATAATAATAATAATAATACTCTTAATAAATGTAAGAACAATCAAGGAATATAATGTTGACAATCGAAAATTATATTTGTTTAAATATCTTTTCTTTATTCTTATTTTTTTCTGTAGCAAACGTCTTAACATTGACACGACACCAAAACGCGTATCGGCGTGTGGGAAAACAACGGGATTATCTATCATTCTCAGGAACCAGCTGGATCAGTACTTCGATACTTTTCTAGCATCTTACGGTTTTAAGGTAAGCTTATTCCAGTACGTTTATCGGATTAACATTTTCTCTTTTAAATGGCATCCCAACGCAAGAACCCGAGCGTGCAACAGTCATGCTTTCTCCTTGGGCAAATTTGACAAATCATTGAAATTGTTATAGTTTGCTATTGCCTTCCACTGCAGATAGAAGGGTAGGATTATCATGAGAAATGAATGATGACGGAAGGTGAAAGGATGAAGTGATGTCGTGGTCGTATGGGACAGCTTACCACGACACAAAGACACATATAACTGGCGAGGAATTGGAATCCACATTCCATAAAAATATATCAAAAATGTCACATTGTGTGAAGTGTACAGTACCCAGAAAATTGAAATACTTAAATGACATGCGGAACTGGACAATTAGGTTTACTTCTGTCGTAGTTAAGTTGCAGTTCAAAATCTTCTAATCTGTCATAACAATGCGTGACACACACATCCATCTAGACAGACAGACAAGCAGACGGCAGACAGGCAGGCAGACACACAGGCAGACGGACTACTTTCGGGTACAAAATTGCGTGTACCTCCTCTCCCCTTGCACCAGTCTTAACCACATTTAGAACAGCACCTTAATCCGCACGTGTGTGCATAGTTACATTTCAAAATAACATTAAACCAGAATTTAACGAGCAATTCGAGATCGTGTTGTTGATTCCAATGAGGAGGAAGGAAAAGTCCAGAACACTACCTGGGATCGTTTACTCGTAGGAGTTTCGGGCGAGGAAAAATCCTCTGAACATGTAATTCTTCACCGTTTCATTTTGTTCCGGACATCTAGGTTCTGCAAAGAGATGCTGCGATCTGCTAGTACTAATTTCGGTCCACAAGTCAAAATGGCCGGTTCACATCGCTCTTCCTGAGCTCCCTTGCACTATATTTACGCAACACTCACCTTCTGGAACACTCACATTCCAATGAGACTTAACCAGCAGTAGAATATGCATACAGTAAAATTTTGTAGTGTTTCTAACAATTAGAAAGAGTTATGAGTAGGGAGCGGATTTTAAATGTATTTTTTTATTTGCACTTTACAGCAAAGCCTTTTAGCAGTCCTTAATTTCAAGTTATGACAAAAGGAAATAATCCATTTTTATATGATTTTTTAAAACATTTTTCGTTGATTTTATCTATTAACCTTTTTTATCTTTTCCCGCCATTTTAAAAGATTTTCACAAATTTAATCAATTTTAATATAATTTTAACGATACTTGCATCAAATAATATTTAGGAGATGCAACAAATGTTCTCTACTGAATTTCAGAGTCCATTTATTTGCTTAGAAGTTGTAATGTCAGCCGTTGTGAGTACGTAATATAAGGATCTTGTGACCTCTATCTGCGCCTTTTTCATTTTGGCCAATTTCGGGATAACTAATGACAGATTTCCTGGTAAAGAAGAGTCCAAACCAAAAGTTTGCAAGTCGAGTTCACTTGAACGAAAGGTATAAAAAAAATCATTTTTTGATAATTTCTGGCGGTTTTTGAGGTCATCAAAATCCGCCTGCTGCCGGTCCGGATGGCAGAGACCGCTAAGGTAGTAGCGATCTCGAACCAAAGGATCACGGGTTCGAGTCCCGTTTCGGGCATGGTTGTATTTGTGTTTGTCCTTTCTCTCCCCATCATCACCATTTTCACTATAGCCATACCGTTAAATGCACTGGTGGTCGCTAAAGACCTAGATGTTGATGGGACCTTCAATTTAAAAAAAACGCCCTCTGCGCAGGTGATGATCCACAGCGAGCTCAACTACCCGGACGAGAACGCGATGGAGGTGCTGGTGCCGCCGGGCACGCAGACGTTCGTGGGCGTGTCCCCGACGGAGACGTACGCCACGAACGAGGTCCGCGACATCCCCGTGGAGCGGCGCCACTGCCGCTTCGAGGACGAGGGCAGGGTGGAGGGCATGCGCAAGTACACCTTCAACAACTGCGTCATGGAGTGCCGCAAGAACCTGTCGCTGCAGCTGTGCGGCTGCTACGCCTTCTTCTACCCCGGTGCGGGTAAGTCCCGCCGCCGCGGGGCAGGCGGGCCCGGCCTCTGCGCACACGGTTTCAGCCACATTCAGATGCCACATCGCGTTTTGTAAAAATAGATTTAAAATACCTTGTTGTTTTGTGCTCGATGGTGTTCAGGCTCGATATTTTTAAACATCGAGGTTTTGAGCTCGAAGTTTTAAACCTCGATGTTTTGTGCTTGGTTTTTAAACGTCCACGCTTTGGACTCAGATTTTAAACTTCGATGCTTTGTGCTCGATGTTTTCTGCTCGATGTTTTGTGCTCGATGTTTTGTGCTCGATGTTTTGTGCTCGATGTTTTGTGCTCGATGTTTTAAACCTCGATGTTTTAAACCTCCACGCTTTGGTCTCGGTTTTTAAACTTCGATGCTTTGTGCTCGATATTTAAACCTCAAAGTTTCATTCTTCGATTTTTTCAATTTTTTTTGTGCTAGATTTTCACATTGTTTTTTTGGCTCCATATGTCGCTTTGAAACGAAAAAAAGTGCCATAATAACAAAAAACTATAATAATCTTCAGATATCCATTGAACATTGTTCATACGAAACTGACTTAGGGTGAAAAGTAAGTTATTTGACTTTTCGTAAAAAGTAAAGTATTCCATTAATTTTGCAGCATCCAATCAGATAACACAAGTTATGTCAATTCTTTGATAATTTTTTTATTTGGTTTTTAGAGTTAATACAATAATTTTGTATATACATCAGTAAATACGACCACTTTCAAATTAAATCCCAAGTTCGCTCTCAACCGCCGAGCGGAACGGACGTGACCTAGCTCCGAGTTGCTCGTGCAGTTATCAGTGATGAGTCAAGCGCTTATCGGTGCTAAGTGCGATCGATAACGCGTTTGTTAATAGGCGTAGTCAACGATCGTTTGCCGGCATTGGCGGCAAAACTACAATTACAAAAAGCCAATTAGACTAATAATAGTGCACCGTCACAGAGGACAAAATGGTGTGCCTTATAGTGAGTGACATAAAAGAACTAAAATTGTTAAACCACAAGTAAAAAAGTGCTAGCAAAATTAATACGAACAGTGCTCAAAATGGTTACTGAAGAAGATTCACTAGGAGAACACATCAGGGAGATTCAATTCGAACTGATTAAATATGATGTAAACTGTGAATTATCACAAGACAAACAAAATAACTCACAATTCTCTCCAAGAAAACCAAATAGGCAGATCTTCAACAACAGTATCAAATCTCCTACATCAAAATCATATTCTCTCAAGAAGACCTTAACAAATTAGAAGCACCAAAACCAACTTCTAACAACCACGAGCTTTTATTCACGGACTGATTGCAACAAACAGCGAGAAACAACGGCAATATCCTCAATAACGTGGAACGCGCACAAATCACTGGAACTCCAATCTTCAGCAGCTAGGCCTACAGAAATCGTAAGTGATTCTCAGCCATAAGACAACAAAGCGCACCACTCGACTCATCACAAAAAAAGAGGACTCTCAAAAGTAAGTAAACTATAGTGACGCCAAGCGTAGAATGCGATCAAATTGTTGCAAGTAATGTGAGCATTACTGAATAAATAGATACTCAATATTAGAATGCATAGTCGAATCAGAAGAAAATTGGTAAATAAATGAACCTCAAGTAGAAAAGATGTAATAAATTCCCGATTTGCCTAGAAACGCAGGAAATATAACTCTTGCTAACAAAAGACCTAAAGACTAATAGGAAACCGGCTTTACACAAACCATAGGGATTCAGTAAAATATTTATGAAAAACGTTCTCAGAATACCCGAAAAGTCAGAAATATTGTGAGAAAAAGTGTTCCTACTATACATACCTGTGTGCCAAACTGAAAAAACTTATCGTAGTAATAAAAAAATGTACCATAATTTCCGAAGAAGACATTTACAACGAATTAGAAAATCTAAACTATCCAATAAAAAAAGTAACCAGAATTAACTAACGAGAAAATTAACATTCAAGTCAGTAGCATTAGAACTTCAAACTCCAGAAAGGAAAAGGAAATATTTAAACTAGACATTACCTTCACTGTTATTGTAAGGTAGAATAAGAAGGAAATAACAAGGCCGCCACTACATGTAAAAAATGCTTTATCTTATGGAACAAAAAATTATGCAGCATCCACCAAATGTGCTACCTGTGTCAGAAAAACATTGGACAAAAGACTGTAAAGTGATATACAATCCACAACCACCACCCCATTTGTACGTCTCTGTAAATGAAAATCATATGGGCTTATCTCTAATCAATGCAAGTACTTTCAAAAGAGAAAGAGAATCATCAATCAATACATTGAATACCCATTTCAAGCTCCACATCCATAACAAACTATGAAAACAAAACTCACTCACAAACATTCCACAACAACAAACATAAACAAATCCACTACATCACAATTGGTATTATAACATGCAAAATACACTTCACCCATTATGCACAAACCAAGTTACCACAAAATCACATACCAGACAATAGTAACAATTATAATTGGATGTTCCAATATTTAACCAAATAAAAGCTCACATTAATTCCACAGAACAAAACTTGTTCAAATCAAATCTCAAATATAATAATGAAATGGATAAACAGCCCACTATAATCAATACACTTCTTACTGAGATGCAAATGGATGACCAAATAAAAAAATACACTTATTCAATTCCTTAAAAAACCTCAATAACAATTGCATGCATAACAATACACCCTTGCCCGGGACAACCTTTCAAAATCCTGGATATAAACTGTTACGAGAAACAGATTTGTCAACATGCAGGCAGGACAGGAGTAGCAATACTAATGTAAAAAGAAAAACTAGACCAAGTCATTAATCTCTATTCCATACAATCGACAATGAGAGTAATAGAGTAAAGATAACTTTAAAAATGAATATTAATATCATAACAGCGTATAAACCACGCTAAAAACAAATCAATATAAACCGATAAAGCCTAATTATCATATACAGAACCTACAATTTTTAATGGGAGATCTAAACAGTAAACATATCATTGGGGTGTAAAGTGAATACATAATGGGAGAAAGGTTGCCTAAAAGCATCATCAAGACATTAACATTTCAAACATTAGCCCAACAAACCCTACTTCATTACCCCAAAAACTGTAATGCTGAACAGATATCTTGACTTACCATTTCTAAAAATCCTAAAGACACACCTCTACTGCTCATTGTTACTGAATTAGACCTCTGCACATGCCTGTTATTCTCACCTCTGTATGAATATATAAACTGAGTTGTCATTTTGGCTTAGGACAACAAACAACATAGATGGGTAAAGTTTCAAACAAACCGTCGATAATTCTCTTCACCACCGATTCATGAAAAAACAAAGAAGAATTGATATTGCATAGATACCTTCACTAAAATCATACAAAAGCAAGCAAAGAAGCAAATACTAAACTCAAATTATAACCAAAATATACACACAATACAATACTATCGGGGCTTGAAAAATTAATTCAACAAGAACACAAATCGTAGGCAATGGCAGCAATATAGAAGCCCTGATAAAAAAAATACTAAATAAACTAACACACCAAGTAAAACTAGTTTTAGACGAGCACGAATTCAACAATATAAAAATTAATTAAAAAATAATCTAAAGACAGCAATTTTGGGAGGTTACAAACAAATACTGAAAGAACCAACAATTATACCAGAAGTAAAGAAATCAGATATCCAACAGCCACAACAACAAAGGAAAAATGTGAATACTATTGCAGAATTTCCAAGAAACATTTACTCTAAAACACCACAAACATTAACAATTTAAACCATCTCAATACTGTGAAGTAAAAACAGTCCCATCACCCGTAAGAAATATATATCACCAAATGACAAATACAAACGATCAAAAGTACCTAAGAAAAATCAGCTTGGACATTCGACACAATACCAACCATAATTTTACAAAAATAAATGAAGGAAAGCAACTTAGCTAATCTAACTGGCAATATCTAAGTTCAATATTAAGAACAGGGTACTATCCAAAAAAATGGAGAACACTCTATAGTAATTTCAAACAAGGCAAAAAACCACACTTACCAGAAAACTATAGACGTATAAGCTAATCCTATTGTAGCCAAAGTAATGGAAAAACTGAATTTTTAAAAAGACTTCTGAATATATTAAACGGAATCACAAGTACATACCACCTTGTCCAATTCTGGATTCAAGAGAAAAGCATCGACAACACTCAACTTTTAAGAATAACGAATTATATATTAAAAACTTCGAACAAAAAAGCAGCACACTGGCAGTTTTTTAGATTAACCCCAAGCATTCGACAGAGTATGGCACGAGGTTTAATATTAGGTAAATCAAGAATCCGGAGTGTTACCCTTGTACTTGGTAAAAAAAATATATGATAGCTTCTTAAAAAAGAGTTTTTTTCAGTAAGAATAAATTCAACATCACTCTACACAAAAATAAATCACAGCTGGAAGTACCAAGCTGCCATTATCTGCAACAGTTGTCAATATATTCCGACAGCAGATTTCCCAACTACTCAAAAACAACAATAGCATTTATTTGCTGATGAAAGTGCAGATATCTAACTTCTAACAGTGTCTAAAAACAGCCACAAAAATTACAAGTAGGAACTTGAAACACAAGTAACACAACTGGCAGACAATGCGAAGATAAAATCAACGCAAATAAATGTCTAGAAAAATATTCACACTATGACCAATAAACATACAACTGAACCCAAAACTATTAACAAAAATCTGGATTGGTTAACAACAAAAGAAACTATTAAACTATTTGGGAATATTAATGGAGACAAGCAGCTAACATGGACAACCATAAATGAAAAATCACCACAGCAAATCAGAAACTTCATAAATTGTACCCTTTAATTAACAGAAAACTGTTCTCAAAACAGTATGTACACTAGTTCTGTACGAAGCAATCAATTCTCCCCATTATAATGTATGCTTGCCAATATGGTATCAAACATTCGGCGGATAATATACAGAAAACAATATTTTCAAATGAAGATTCTACGTATAGCTGTAATGCCCCTGGTCATTAGGAACAAATACAATTACACTCAGATTAAAACAGAAACTATTCATCAATATCTTTCACGTCACAGCATTCCTTTTTCACGATCTTTTGCCATAATAACAACAACTGACCTTACAACTTGGTTCATCAGCAACTAACAAAGTCCCGAATCAAAAAAGATTTCCATATGAAAATATTATAAATTTGTGAACCCCTTAAACTTTCTGAACTAGAATTAGAAAATGTAAAGAATAATAACAACTTACTTGTAAAACATATAACAATAATGAGGAACTGTTTGGGCTTCCTTGATTTCTCTATTTATCTAAATAATGATTGTATTTTTTCTTTATGAATGTGATCTTGTTTAATGTTGACTGAATAGGTTTCTGCTGTCTTATTTTTTGTAAATCAACCTGTATTTAGTTGTTATTGTATGAACAATCCCTGTAAAGCAGTTATGCTGGTCTGTGGAAATAAATAAATAAATAAATAAACAAAAAAAAATTAAATCCCTTCTGCGCGAATATGACTAAACTGATTTTAGAATCATCGGTTGCTTTTAGGCAATATATTATGAACATCAATGTTTTGAAACTGAAACTTTGTGGGGGATGTCGCAGCTCTACTTGAAGCCCTTTTTGAGCTTCTACGCATGCGCAAAATAAGGCTTTGTAAAAAGCAGTTGTCGTCAAACTTTATTACGTAAAGGTGAAACGCATAATCGGCATTTTATTGAGGCTCAGAACTTTTACCAGCAACATTTGAAAACTATAACTTTTTGCACTCGAATAATAGAAAGAGTAGTTGTATCAACAAACGGACTACAGACATTTGGATTCTATAGTAGAGCTGACAAAATACCACTGCCTACCACAGTCTTCCCACAATCAACAAAAAGAGAGCTCAACAGAACACACGCGCACACGTCACGATCGAGTTCTATCGGAAAACGATACACTTTATCAGGTAAATTAATATGAGTTGTATCGTGTGCTATTTATTACGTTTTTCTTTCTGACTCGAAACTACGTTCAATTATTTCAACCTTAGAAAGTGCTAGTGTGTTCTGCAAAATGCTTTTAAGACATCAAACATTAGTACACATTACAGGACTATTGCTAACATGCATTATATTGTTTTCCGATTCACTTTGTAAAAACTCTCCAATAGTTCAAATCTGGCAGAATCATGGTGCACATTGATGATTGAAAAGAAAAAAACTATCTAATTTCATTTATATATGCTTCATTTATGATTTTCATATTTTCAAATCAAGGAATTGAAACCAAGTAAATTCGAAAACAAAATTTGGTGGATTATGGAAATGTTGATGGATACAGTTGCTTTGAGCTTCTGTCCTACTTTCTAGGTAAGAATCAGAGAACATACATAGGAACAGCCAGAGTCCACATGATCTTATATTATTAATTAGCTTCATCTACATAAATGAAAACTCGGTTTGTAATGTCATTTCCAGTAACATTTTTTATAATATGTGTACGTTTTACCCTAGAGAACATTTTCAAATCAACTCTACGCAAACAACTCCTCCCTTAGTTTTTTGTCCTTCAGGATACGTTACCTTTACGTCACTGCTTTTGCTGGGATTTGGATGTTGCTGAATTTAAGTGCACTTAATTTCCTTAATAGAATGATTGGATATTTGGTCGTAATGATGGACAACAAATTCGGCATTAAATTAAAATTGGAATCAGAGTGGCTCCTCACTTAAAAATCTCGATTTTCAAAACAATTAAAGATGAAGAATTATATAATTAATTAGTCACACATATTATTGCCCATAATAACGCGTAATGGCACAAAATATCAAAACTTATATCTTATTGAGTAGCAGGTAAATACTATTCTTTGCTTCCAGTATCTTCAAAAAAATGTGTGTTCAAGTGCTCTATGACTGTTATGTTGTGTTTTAACCTTTGTGCTAGACAACTGCACCTCGGAGGAGAGTGTTGTGTGTAACTATTCTCGTCACGTTCTCACTGATAGCACGCCTGCGTTTCCCTGCATAGCGAATTTTGCACTGTACCTGGCTATTTATTCATTCTGCCTGGCTGGCACCACGCGTAAATTACGTCATCTGAGAAAATACTGCTACTGCTCGTCGCTAGGCGGCTTGATCACTTTCCAATCTCAAAGACGGTATGCAAGTCTTACAAGGAACGGCAATTGATATAATTTTCATATCAATATCCAAGCCCTGTTTATTATGGACAATGCAACGGGTACTTTTCACTTCGGTTACTTTAATAACATTATTTCTTTCAAAGCTTTATGAGAATTGCTTATGACTCACAATTCCTTATATTAAATGAAATATTTTTTGTTTATGTTTCAGAATCGACAAAGATATGCAACATGACTCAACTGTTATGCCTTTCAAGAAATAGAAGTAAGGAAAACATACTATTCGGACTATGACATATATACTACATTATTGATCTATTCAAAAATGAAATTAAGAGTTAAAGAAAATAAAACATGTACGAATTTAAATCTGAATGACCTACGAAATTAGTTTTATATAAAATATGCTTTACTTTTAGACATTGGCGAGGCGTGCTGCAATCGATAGATGAGGCAATGCTCTAGCGAAATAATAAACATATTACATTGAAAATAATGCTGACAAAAAATTAATAACTAATTGATATATAAAACACATCTAAACAATATTAGTTAATAAACATCTCAGAAATAGTCATAATATACTAAGCACATCGCAAAGGACTCGCTAATACTCAGATCATCGCCACTCGCTGTCCGCTACTCAACCTGGCGCTGCGATTCTTTTGCCGACGATAAGTGCACCTACTACACGCGCAAGTTTTCTTGATATCCCACAGCGGGGGAACGGGGAGAGGAGGGCTCTTGCTACGACACGGCTTAAAAGAGCGTACCAACTGTGGACATTGCTATAAAAATGCTACGATTGTTTTGAAAGTACGAGGTGGTTGTTGCCAGCATTGTAAATTGGTACGTGCTGTCCCGAGTAGAACCTAAGTATCTTAACGTGCCGGGCGATTCAGCGCTGGGCGAGGACTCGGTAACTCGTGCATCAAGAAAACTTGCACGGGCACTACTCAACGCTGCGATCGGAGAATCTCGACTATTCGATACTTTTCGACCATGCATCCGTGCCAGCAAACGCGCCATTTGAACTCTCAATATGTACTTGTGAGTGAAACAGTGTTTTGTTTTTTACTGTGCCCTGATTCACGGGCGATGAGTTTTCGTCGAGTTATCAGGGATATATTAATTGATATACATTTGGAGAAGACATTGTATTTCGGCAGAAACAGAAACATTGTGGTTTGCTCGAATACGAAGAGATTTTGACGTCAAAGAAAGGCCGGCCCTACGCTTACATAAATTCGACAACTTAAGTCCCCATAAGATTCAACGTTTATACCAGACATTTATGGTGTATATTTATAAGTAGATTTATGGAAAAGCCAAACTCCTTTGTAAATAAAATCCAAGGCCAACAAAAGAGATTAGTAAAATAATTTGTGTTTCTGCTGATATTTTAAATGTAAACATCTTGACCTAATGAGCTAATCCTAAAGACGAATCAGAATTTTTTAATATTTTATTCGCAATCCAATACATTTTACATTTTACCCAACCTCAAACTTATCTCCACCGTACATCAGTCGTCACAAATACAAGGAATCAAAGAATTACATTATAATATGAATTTCAATGTAGACTTTATATGAAGAACATTTATTGAAAAGAATGTGGGGAAATAACACAAAAAAATCAGATTATGAGAATAACTCATCTTCCAATCATTCCCTTCACAGAGATAGGCCAGGATTTTCGACAAAGATGACGATGCCTTTGCAAAAAGTGCCACGCCTCGCCATTTCTATTTGAAAGTGAGCCTTCACATTTAAAAAAAAAAAATACAACGTTTAATACACAGAATTAGAATATGTTTCTTCGCATTAACAGAGGGACGATTTATTAAAAATTACGTAGGTCAGAAATGTTGTAGTTCAGTTTTGACCCACCACGCTAATTCACTGCAAGCTGCATTTAATTACCTGCGTCAAATTTCGCGGAAAACAATTTTGAAGTGATGAGAAACCAGGACGTAGCGCCGCGTTACGTTGACGCTTGTGAGTGTGCCACGAGGGCTTCGCCGTATTTCACAGAGCGTCTGGCGGCGTTGGTGGAGGTGGACTTCTCCATGGAGACGAGCGACTTCCGGGTCCTGCCGAGTCCATGCGGTTGTCTGCCGGAGTGCGTGATGACGCGCTACCGCATCCAGACCACGTCCATCCCCTTCAAGCCGCACCTGCGCAAGGACCTCGAAACCAAGTTCTAGTGAGTTGCTCCCTCAGTTCTATCAGATCTCGTCAGGCCAGGAACCTCTGAACCTTCCACACTGAAAGTCGTACGTTCCTCCTGGTGTAATCTTCTAACCCCTTCCTGAAGCGTCAAGACTCACAAATCCTTAGGAAGGGCAGTAAAGTCAGTGGTTCTATGTTGCTGATACGCTGCATATCAAAAAGCATCAAGTCGCATCTTACTGAAATCTAAAGCCAATTAGTAGTGCCACGTAGTGGGAAGAAGACTGGAGTAGCTCTCCTACTTACGGGCAGTAGGTAGTTTGGATTAGCCAAAAATACGTCATCGCTTCTGTCTTTTGCAAGCTATTAGTAACGGTTATCCGAAGGGGTGGTGGGCCCAGGAACAAACCGTCGATGACGTCATCCATCGGTAGTTAAGAGGTGACACAGAAAGCTTCAGTGAATTTCTTAGAGATGTAGCGCGCGTGTTAATTTTGCACAGAAGTTTGGTGGGTGCGCAAAAACTAAGGTCGTGAGTTTAGGTAGACTACACGGTAGGCACCGCGTCAGTCGGCTGATTAGGGTTTTGACAGCTGTGAATTTGTGAATTCATATTACTAGTAAATATATTGAATATACGTAAAAATGAGGCTTAAATTTCCTCTCGAGATGTCACGAACAATAAATTAATTTAACTTACGTATTGCAAAAGACATTGAAAACTCTATTTGACGTATTGGGAGAAGTATAAATTACGCATTTCCTGAGTTCTAGAATCCGTAAACCATACGTAGTTGTGTGATGAATGAGGGTAACAGTTAATTTATTACCATCGAGAAACGAACTACATATTTGATTTTATGGTATTACTAAAAAAATAACAACCCACACCTTCCAGCCTTGCTCCTATCACAACTAGCAACACGAGAGCTCAACAACAGTGCGCATAGTGAGGCTACTTCTAACACGTCCAAAAGCAAAACAAGGGACCATCTCCGCATTTACTCAATGGATCAAGGGAAACTTGATGACAGTGCTGATTAAGATAGGTTGGGACCCAGTCTCAGTGAACTCGAGATGGGTTTCTCAGTTCACGAATGAGTATCGTACTTCAAATGGATACACGCGTACTACTACTTTGCTGAATTTACTTTCGATGTGAAAATTATTGACAGTTCACAATCATAATTTGCAGATTATAGTATAACAACAGATAACATAAAAAATAGTTTATTCTTGTTCAGGATTTCGAGTATTAATTGTCTTTTTTTCTCTCCGTACACTTTGTTTCAGTTCGAATTTGGATCCCCACAACCACACAGTGCTGCACGTCTTTTTCACGGATGTGGTGGGCACCCGTTATCGCATGAGCCCCTTCCTCGGATGGCTCGACTTGCTAGGTGAGTGCTAAGCAAACGAAAGTATCGTATGATCATTTATGACATACGTTTTGGAAAGCCTCGACAAAGTTATAAACAGATTAGGCAGCGCAATTTATTACATCCTGATACGTATCTAAAGTGGCTGGATGAGAACTGTAAATGGTGCTATTTGTAATAAATTTCGTATCAATTATAAGATGCATGCTGTGAAACTCATCAACGGCAAAACAGTCGGCTATCAAGTTGTTTTGTTCAATTTCATTTAAAATTCTAAACCTTTCTAATTTTTGTGTTATTTGCTCACCATTAGGAAATTGATTTTTGTTGTTATTTGATCGTGATCTGACATATTAAAGCAACTTAATATAAAATCAATACAATAAAAAAATTATATTGATTTTTTCATCGAATAAAAACAGGAACTATACTAAAAACTAAAACTTAACAAGACTTAGAGACGAAAATGGACCCCAAAAATCGAATCTGGGTTATATGATATAATTCCATTTACTCTCTCTAGATTTTAAATGTTACTCCATGAATAGAGGAGTCTATACAAAAAGAGTCTTTGCAAGACATGCAATCAAAAGACAAAACGTATTCAATAGTAAATAATGCAGAGTCAGAGAAAATGAGATTTTGTTTGTCATACTAATGAAAACACATATACCATTATGATCAAATTGAAAGTGCAATTGGTTAACAATGCCAACTTCATTAAATTGTTTATGTAAATTCTCATCTGAAGTGTAGTTGATACTTGGCTTACAGCTTACGATATAAGAAATCTTATTCTATGATACGTACATGCTTATATTATATCCACAGAAAAATTGACGGAGAGTACTATACATGGCCCTTACTGCTGTTTTAAATTCCTAAATACATGATTCTATTATGTTTCCGACATGAACGACAAATATAGTAGCCTGGTAATTAGATACTAATTATTAAATGAATTTTGTTAACGAACAATGAAGTCTTAACTCATCAAAACATAAATAACATCATACATAAATTATTTCAGATATCAGGTGTTGTGAAAGTTTAGTACTATTAACAAAACCAAGTTTCCGCAGGAACCTTTAGCTATGTAGAATATTCGCCACCGTCAAAACTCAAAAGCTAGGATCCTCCGTTGAACGTTGCTGAAAAGGCAATATCGTTGCCACTGAGCTCTCGCACTCGGATCCAAGGAAGGAAAAAAAAGAAAAAAGAAAAAAAAAAGACGAAAGAAAGGCGTTTCGTTCCGTTGCAGCGTCCGTGGGCGGCATCCTCAGCCTGATGCTGGGCTTCAGCATGGTGTGCGGCTTCGAGATGGTGTACTACTTCTCGCTGCGCGTGCTGGGGGAGCTGCTGGTGCGGGCGAAGCGACGGCGCGCAGTGGGCGGCCCCGGTGAGCAGAACGATGCGATCTCTGTGTTCACCACCGTTTTTCATCCGCCCACTATCCTGGGCTATAGCACCAACTTTTAACTTCCAAGAGCAGAGAATGTATTTGTTCCCTGACGCATAAGAGACTATTTGCACCCTGACGCGTTATGAACCCGGAGACAACATTGCCAGGGGAGTCAAAATAAAGTAATTCCTGTTCTTCAACGTTCGTCACTTCGTTTGTATTGTGTAACTTTTGTATTGTCATTTATTTATTAATGTGCGTTCCAAGAAATATCAAGTACACCACAAATATTTTTAATATTCGAGGGCTTTTATCCAGCCGACAGCCGGTTAGCCTTGACGTCCCGAAGGGCCGCATCTTCGACCATACACTAGACACCAACACACTTGCGGGTTTCTCTGGTCTGGGGACAGGAAAACGCGAGTTTGTCCGTGACAATACATACATAAGAGACTAGGGACAAACAAAGCGGTACTCGAACCCGCGTTTTTTGGTCCTGAGCGCTGAGTCGGTACACGCGCTTAGCCATCTCGACAATTCAGGACTGCCATATATAATAGACAATACAGTTTTCAACATCTTTTTATAAAGGGGCACACAATGAGAAGCTCTGTTCAAATTTGAAATCTAACTTCTATAAAAGAGACTAATTGAAAACGTAAAACACTGAAATAATACATAAATTTATATGTTATGACGATGTGCTGAGATTATTTGTAAGTAATCATAATCGCAGTTCTAATCATTCCAGATTTCTACACCTGTGCTCTATCTGTTCGACTGTAGATCGATCCGCAGACGACTTCTACGGCCGGGGCGCTGGGGGTGGCGTGACCTACGCGAGCGCGGTCGCGAACGTGGTCGGGGACGAAGGAGCGGCGCCCGCTTCAGTGGCGCCCCTGGCGGCGGCGCCCCTACAACCGGCGATAGCCCGCGACGCCCACTGGCGCACGGTGTACCCGCCGGCCATCGACACGGGCATCGCGCGCGACTTCCTGCGTCCGCCCGCGGGCCACGAGCCTCGCGCGGACGTCGCGGACCACGCGCCCGGCGGGCCACTCGCGCAGCAGTCCCTGCCCATGCGCCGACGCCGCTTCTGAGCAACACGCGCTGCAGCAAGGATCGTTTAGAGACTAGTCAAGCATCGGCGTCGACCTAGGGGCCATCGCTGCCAGGGGAGTGGACATGCAGCAGTCCCTGCCCATGCGCCGACGCCGCTTCTGAGCAACACGCGCTGCAGAAAGGATCGTTTAGAGACGACTAGTCTTGAGGGCAGCAGGGAACACGGTGCTAAGCTCAGCAGGGTGTTCACGCAAAGCATTGACGGTGAAAACACCTCCAGGAGACCTAGCTTTGTTTTCTTACCCATACGATGCCGTCGCTTTTGAGTAATTCTGAGCTCTGTGGCTCAATCCAATGACTAGAAGATCTTATCATCTTGCCTTCGATCCCAGGATCCTTGGCAGCAATGACTCCCACAGAGTTTGAATCTACCAGTGCCTGCTCACGCATCGTTTGCAGAGCAGAGTTTGCGTCTCAGTAACAATGTGCTCTCCAGGGTCCACCCAAATACTAGAGCAGGGACTATCCAATCATCGTTCCTTGAACTTGGACTTCCCAGACAGCATCGTCAGGAAAACTTCCAAGGAGCAGTTCTTGCCCATAGGCTAACGCTTCCGTGAAGGACTCTATCCAAAGACTTGAGCAAGGGTAATTTTCGATCCTTGGAGAGCTAGGAGTCTTCAAGAAAACATCACTTACTTAGCACTTTCTGTCGTTTCACTCATGTCGCTTCTGAGCAACTGCGTGCGTCTGAACAGGAATATTTACATTTGTTCACGGTGAAGCGTGGTGAGCCCTGGGATTAACAATGACCCCCTTCATGAATTTTCCATGAAGAAGTTCCCGATTTAATTTCTAAATAAAAATGTGCTCAATACAAATACTATAGCACGGATCATCATGTTTTCTTTGTTTAGTGCATGATAGACACCCGAGACAACACCGGCAGGGGAATTAACAGTGCTTGTATATGCCCCGCATCTTCTGAGGAACGGTGGGATATGTGGCTTCACCTAAACACAAGAGCGAGGATCGTTTTCGAGAAGAGATGACTAGAGTTTGTGACCCAACATCGGCCAAGGAGCCCTCGAGAAGTTGCTACCCATGCGACACCGACGCTTCTGAGCACGGGTGGGCTCCGGGATCAAAAGCAGAGAATGTTTTTGCTTCCTGAGGCGTTGTGAACCCGGAGACAACATTGCCAGGGGCGTCAAAATGCAGTAATTCCTGTTCTTCTACCTTCGTCGCTTCTTTTGTATTGTATACCTTTTGTATTGTCATTTATTTATTAATGAGTGTTCCGACATTTTCCATACGAAGTTGCTTTACTTAGTAAATCCAGATTATTGTAAAAATTGAATTTTTGAATTAAGTAAGTAACGAATGCAAAAATATTACAAAGAAATATAGAGAGCAGTAATAAAAACATAGAACACGAAAATAAATCATTCACATAACATGAATTTCGAATTGGCCGTTAAAAAACAACAACAAATTGCACGAAGTTCAACAGGCATTCTCATTTCACGAACATAAATGAAAAACATAGTTAAATAAGCTTTGTGTATAAATAAAGCTATATATTGTTATACTATTTTTGTTTTGAAATTGCACATTAATTCATTAAAACATTTAATATTCCCAATAGAGACCCACAATAACTGGCATTCACCCCAAGTGGCTTTCCACATATTTATTTCCTAACTAGAGTTTTACATGAAATATAGAAGAAAATTTAAAACTTCAACCATTAATCGCACCCAACTGTTTAGGGACAGATGGTTAAGCATGCATTTTTTTAAATCGCTAATCTTTCCTATGGTTTATAACTTCATTTTGATGTTTTCTTTAGGGATATTGACGAAGTTATTTGTACTTTTGTATTTAAGCAATAAAAAATATCTTAAGATGGAGGACATAATTCCATATCTGGGTAACTTTAAAAATCATTTATGTAATTGCATAATTTATGTAATTACAATATTGTGGAAGATTGTTTCTTTTCTAATCATTGTTAAAAGCTTAAAGAATAATATTTTTAGTCATTTTCAACGTTACTCTTTTTCTTATTTTAACGATTGAAGCAATTCACTTAAAAATTACTCTTCATTCTTCAGATTGGTACGTTTAAAGGATTTTAAAAATTTTTATAATTTTGATATCTTTATTTTGCGTATTATGCTGATGGCGAAGCATATATGGAAGCTTTCACACATTATTATAAATACGGCCATTTTTATAAAAAGTAATGATTATCATTTTTAATGTAAATAAAAAAATGGATATTTATATTATAATTTTACATTTTTTGCAATAATTTTAATAATAACTCAATTTATACCGTTTCTAATGCTCCTTTGATTCATAGTCCAAAACCCTATTTTACAATAACTCTTCAATGGCTATATCAAATGTTCAATACACAATATTTTCTGTTCAACATTGGCATTCATGAATTCAAATTACAAAGCAATTTGTAGAGTGGTCGAGCAAATTGAACTAAGTACCGAAAACAAAAATTGTGGGAAACAAGGAAAGAAACTGTTTGAGATTCACAGACGGTAAATGCAAACACGCTGGGTGTTGCATATTGTAATGGAAAGATTTTGAGTTTTAGAGCCAATAGCACTGCATTAGCCTTTGCAATTACATCCCTTTGAGATTAAAATAAAAACAAAACAAATTTGAACTTTTGGCACTTAGATCAGTTTTCTCAACCACACTATATTTCTCAAATTTCTAGTGCTAAAATATACAGAGGGCGACATTCGTCACACGCAATAAGCATTGAGTAACTATTGCAGGATCAGCAACATAATTTTCTTAAGTAAGGGCTGGGCTAAAGAAATGGATGTTAAGCTGTGCATTGGTAGTTAGAAAATTTTTAATTAAGCCAAAAGAGAATATAAATAGCATATGAGTTCTTCTGCTAAATAAAATCCAGTATGAAATATATACAAAACTCTTAATTTTTGTTATCTTAAATACACATTTCTCCATTGTTATTCCACTCAAGTGCAACCAGGAAGACAAAAAACAGTGTCTCTTTGTTTACACTAAAATATGAAAATTTTAGGGAAGATTATTTGAAAAGTTAAACTAAAAAGAGACTAATATATGTATGCGACATGGCATACAAAATACCAATAATACAATACAAAATGTTCAAATATTAAGTTGATGTATCATTTTTACATCTTTATCATAAATAAATTGTGTTTCCTTTTATATATGCCACATACCATGATCTTGTTAAAGTACATTAAAACCTAAAAAAATACCATACCCCTAAATTTTCTGATCACACACTACAAAACTTCCTACGTAAAATACTTGTGGGCTCGCACGAGACAATTACTGTATCTTATCAGGCAGCTGTAATGCATCATGCCTCCACGTTGGAAACAATCCATCACAACAGTTCGCACATGATTCAGGCAGATTGCGTGGTGAGTCATCGCCAGCTGGTCGGGATGGAATCGAGATTTCAAGTGGAAGCAGTCGACACGTTTCGCTCTAGAATTACAACCAATCCTGGTCAACAGGCCAGTGCCGGACTGCACTCCACCATATCAGCAGCCAAGGTCGTACAACACACCCTCCCACAAAATATGTATTTTTGTTACTACTTAGTTGAAATTTAATTGCTTCTTTTTTAAAGAAGTATTACTTCCCTTCAGAAACCATGTCTTTCAACTTTTTTAAACATTATTTCTTGAATATTTATAATTCACCGCCCAGTAGAAAATACGCAATTTTTTTCTAGATCTAGCCGGCAGCCGGTTACCCTTTACGCCCTTATATTCGACCACACACAAGACTATTACAATTGAGGGTTGCTGTGAACTGGGGCAGTAAACCCTGAGGCCCTCCACGACAACACACACACACACACACACACACACACACACACACACACACACACACACACACACATGAGAGACTAGGGATAAACAGTAAGGCCGTACTCGAACCCGCGACCCTTCGGACCGAAGCGCTGAGTCGCTACATCCTCGTAGTCACCTGGGCTGTCCAGGTACTATATCTGCAATTTATTTTCTTTGCCTTTTTTGCTTTATTTTCTTTGTTATTTTCTGGTGCCTTTTCTTCAAAAATGTTTTAAGTTAGTGACAATATTATTGTTTTTTAATGGTTGTTAAATTTATATTATTTTAAGGTACTCTGAATTTGTCTTTGTTAAATCTTAATTTGATCGGTAAATAAGCAAAACTGGTTCCCCGTGTTTTAATATAAACGTGAACGGAAAGAGAGCAATTCTCTAACTCATAAGGCATGAGAATTAATAATTAATTAAAATAAGTTAATTAAAACTTTGAAATGATTTTTCAAAAATTACACACATGTTTTTCAGAACGTTCTTCTCTGGCTAAAGACAGACGTTGTAAAGACTAAACGAAATATTTATTTTTTCACCAAAGTCATTAAAAAGCTAAATAAAAATGCAATTAAGGAATATAAAAATAAACTTCTTTAAATAAAAAAAAGCATTTAAAATTGAAAAACAACGATTTCGAACTCATTTAGCATTTGATTCAGCAATGATTTTATTTAGTAAAAAATGGCGACGAAAGTCATTGCGTATTAGACGTTGACATGTTAAAAAAAATTTCTGATGATCATTTGAAAATTGAATCATTTGAATGTATTAAAGGTCTTATGATGGGTAAATTAATACATACCCACTGTAATTAATTATGAAGTTATCATTCGATGGACAATAATGTGAATATTAAAAAAAAAAGTTTTATTATCCTTGTTCTACAAATGAGATTCTTGAGACCGAAATGGAGCCTATTACACGTTTCATTAATCAATCGCAAAAATGTGTGATGTCAGTCGACCTTGCAGATTCTGCTATCCTCAAGAAAGTCATTTATTCACGAGAAGTTTGTATCACTGAATACTGCAGCAGTCTTGAAAGTAACCTAAAACAATGGTTTGTTTCAATGGATTCTTCATACATCAACAATGGCTTGAGGCATTTCCACCCACCTGATATCTGACTTTATGACAGTAA